AGCTTTCCTGGTTGCTGAGTTGAAAGTAGGTGATAAAGTTCACTCGCTTCTGAACACACACACACAACGAACAGCCTCTCGAAAATATGCATTTTTATTCATTGTAGCAGCACCATAGCGCTGCACAGCAAAAACGTATAAAAGAGCAAGAAAAATCAGAACAGAAAGGTACTACATACTTCATTCGACGGAAGCATCCCCTGGCAATCGGATCGCCGTCGCAGTCGCCGCAGTCTTCTTAGCTCTTTCTCCTGATCGATATTATTGGTATTGCAGTTCCCTATCTGGAAGAATTCAAACGACGTGGAAATCATGAAAAAGCATGGGTTTTAAAATGTGAGTGCCAAAAGCTGTATATTAAAAAATGTAAATGTGCAAAAGCTGCTCGCGCCTAAATAAAAGAAAAAAAAACAAACTGTCGTCGTATTACTTACACAAACAGCAACTGCTCCACTCCTGTCGCTGTTGTTGCTGCAGCTTGTTGCAGTGTTGTTGTTGCGACTGCTAAGCTGGGCTGTAGAACGATGAAACTGTGATGAAAACACATTATCCAGTGAAAAGCCACGCGATACTGCGCGACGGGAAGGAATGGATGATGCAGAAGCTCCACCACCAGCACCGCTGCCACTGCTACCACCACTAGCAGGAGCACTAGCATTTCCAAAAGAATTAAAAGTCTGTAAATAAACCCGTGAAAGTCCCCGAAAATAAATATAAGATGAATACAAAGACTGCAAGTTTTCGCAACAAACGAATGGAGTGACTGGAGGGGGTATTTCAGTTTCGGAGATCCTTGCTCTAAATGAAACTACTTTCCAGTTTTTAAATCTTATTTGTTTAAATATGGCATTTTCCTGGATCTGATGACAAATTCAACGAGTTTAAATTGAGCTTTTCACTTTTATACAGTCTATAAAATCAGTGGTTTGTGAAAGTCAACTAACATTTACAAGATTCTTGAAATGCATCATAAGCGATGCGGAGGCTGACTGTACCGCAGAGCTGGTCGGTGCCATTGCGTGCGGCGGTGCATGGAAGGTTCCTTTCGATGCTGCTGCCGTTTTCGGACTCGGAAATAAGCTCCTCGCAACTGGCGCTGTTATCGCGATTTGTGGTGCCAGCGCCACTACTGGCGTAGGTGACGGCGCTGGTGTTGAGGTTGACGCAGTTGTGAACAAGCGAATGTTATACGAAGCATTGTTGGAATTGAGTGCTTGCGATGTGTCGCCTCTCGTATCCATCGACTGATTACCGGACTGCGCTGCAAATGTGAATTCAAACTGTGCTAAATGGCAAGGACTAAACTTACACTTGGACAATGCACACTTTGCAGCGAACAGACAGTAGCATCTCTTACGTTACAAACGTCAACGTTACTGCCGTATGCTGCAAACATAAAGTAATGGTACAACTTCGCTGTGATCGATCACTCTGCCGTTAAGACCATTTTGGAAATACACAGAAGTCAATACACTACAGCACAGAATCTCAGCCGCTCTACTCGCTAAACAGTAGTGTTCTGAAATTTCGAGGTCACTATCAGCAAGCATGCAAAAAAATTGGTGCACCTGCAATGGTATTCTGCCGCCCGAGCAGCGGTGATCGTTTGCTCGTGCTGTTATCCGATTTCTCGACATATAAGCATTCCAGGTTTGTCGCTGCTTCACCATCACACGATTCATCAAATGAGCCTGAATTTCGAGAAGTCTGAGTCATGGAACGGAAAAGTGGGTTACACTGAATCAAAATGCACTGGAGTTGCTTTTTATGCGTTTTTGCTGTGCAGCGCTATAGCAGCACTATAGCGCTGTTACAGCCAGCAAAAACGCATATTGTCGAGAGGCTGTGTGTGTGTGTGCGCATAGCGAGTGCATTTTGTCACCCACTTTCAACTCAGCAACCAGGAAAGCTGGGGGG